TTTGACAGGTGGGATTTCATTCTATCCTCCAGTCTGGAGTGCAGTGGTGCAATCATAGCTCACTGCAGCTGCAAACTCCTGGGCATAAGGGATCCTCCTACCTCAGCCTCCCAAGTTGCTAGGGCTACAGGCATGCACCAACATGCCTGGCTAATTTTTAAATTTTTTTGTGTAGACAGGATCTTGATAATGTTCCCCCAGCTGATCTCAAATGATCCTCCTGCCACAGCCTCCCAAAATGTTAGAATTACAGGTGGGTGCCACTGTACCCGGCCAAGGTACTGTCCTCATCCTCTCTCTGACCCCCATCACCATTGTGATTTTCCTCCTGGCATTTATCATTATTTTGGCTGAAATGTTACCCTCTCCTTATGTCCATTATTTTGCCCCTTACCAGAGTTTTATTCATCATGAATCAATATTTTTATGCTTGCTGACCTGTGCACTGGGCCCTGTGGGTTGCACCTTTGGCAAAGAGGTAGCAGTTCTGTTTTCAATAAGCTTTTAATTGGACCCCAAACTGACCTTGAGTAGAAATCAACATACTTTTGAATGGTAGTTACAGGTACTGTATGAGTCGCTTAGACATCACCTTCTTTGGGAAGCCCTATGTGAGCCTTCCATTCCGGCTTAGATATGCACCCTGTGTGCTTCCATAGCACCTTATTCTTTTTTCTTTTTAAAAATTTTTTTGACTTTTAAGTTCTGGGATACATGTGCAGAATGTGCAGGTTTGTTACATAGGTATGCATGTGCCATGGTGGTTTGCTATACTCATCAACCTGTCATCCTCGCTCCTCCCCTGACAGTCCCCAGTGTGTGTTGTTCCCTACCCTGTGTCCATGTGTTCTCATTGTTTAACTCCCACTTATGAGTGAGAACGTGTGGGGTTTGGTTTTCTGTTCCTGCATAGCACCTTATTCTTGTCTCTATTCCAGGGCTCTTCATTTTGTATTGTAATGGATTGTTTAGTGTCCTTTTTTCTCCAGACTAGACTGTGAACAACTTGAGATCTTTTTAACTTGGTGTTCCTGGGGTCTAGCACAGTATCTGGTACACTTTGGGTACTCTGTAAATGTTAACTGAAAGAAGAAGTCAGTAGATTACACAGAAACCTAATCACATAAATTAACATTGATGGAACTGTTAAATAAGGTCAAATAGCTCATTACTTCCAACTTTAGGAGTTAAGACTCCTAAAGGATATGACACACATTGAAGTGGGATTATAGTCTTTTTCTTCTTCATGCTTTTTAAAACATCTCCCCTCTATCCCACATCTGCATTCTCAATCTTCACTTCCTAGTTTTCCACAACCTTTATACTTGATATCAATTAGCTGCACTGAGCCTTAAAACCGTTTCTTAATTTTACTCTTATCCTTCTTTTTTTTTGTTTTTGATTCCTTTTTTTTAAAAAGCCCCTAAATTCTATGGCTTCAAGGGAGCGTCAGAGAAACGTGAATGCCATTTCTGTATACTTGGTAAGGCAAAACCTAGACTCCCAGCCAAGGCCCCAAGCTGCCCCACTCTGCCTTGCAGCCTCCAGGCGACCCCGCTGGGGACCGCCTGCCAGTTCAGGGCGCCCCCAGGCCCCCTGCGCGCACACCTGCGGGGCTGGGCCGGGGCTTTAAGGCGTTTTGTCCTGGCCGCTGGCCGGGTGGCAGAGCACAGAGGCAGGAAGCCCTGTGCCCGCGCCCCATTCAGTACGGCCCGGGGCTAGGCAAGGCGACACCAGCCAGCCGTCCTGCCTCGGGTTCTGGGCGTCGGGGCACAGCCTCTGGGAGTAGGTGCGTCGAGAAGCACCCGCCTGGCAGGGCCCACCTGCACTCGCCGGGGCCAGGCTGGGAAGAGGCTGCAGTGGTCGTGTCTGTGGCGCCCAAGCTTTGGTGCAGCATTTTGGTTGGGGAGCCGGCTTCAGCTGCGGCCCCACCCCTGCCTTCCCCTTTGGCTTCAGGGAGGCCTGCAGCAAGGCCTCACCCCTGGCAGCAATGCCTGTGCCCCTCCCAGGAGGGCCTGGGCAAGACGGCCCCACAGCACCCCTCCAAGCCGGGCCTGCCCTCCCCTCGAGAAAACGGCCTTTGGATCGAGGGAGACAAGCTGGACTTTATGACGCTAACGGGGGCGGCTGGCGGGGCCGGGCCTCAGCCGGAGCCCCCAGATCACACTACTCACTTCAGCAAAGAAACGGAGGGGCAGGCGTGGGGCAGGGCGGGCCTCTGTTTTTTCCTTTTTTCCTTGTTTTAAATAGTTAATGCTCTTGGAGGGGAGGACTAGACACAGGTGTAGGAATTTTGCCAAAGTCTTACGTGAAGGGAGTGACCCACGTCCCGGGGTGGGGCTGCCAGCCGAGCCAGGGCGGCCCCTGCAGTCTGCGTCCTGGCTTCCAGCCAGGGTCTGGCCCTGGGCCGCTGTGGGTGGGCCTCGAAGGCCTCGCATAAGCTCCCGCCCCAAGGGGCTGCACGGAGAAGATTCAGGGGGCTGCATGCGCCCGGTCACTTGTGTCGCTGCAGCGATTTTCTCTTTCTTCTCTTGGAGAAGCAGTAGCATTTGGTTTCATTGGTGACTTCCACCTCTGCAGGCGCCGTGATGGGGGCATTGGAGTGGCCCGCCGTGGGGTCGTCAGCGTTCAGCTCCCCGTTGGTGGAGTTCAGCGCCTGGTTTTTGCTGTGTGGCTGGGCTTTGTCTCAGAGCCGAGCCTGGGAGGGCAGGTCGGTGTGGATGGTGCCGATGGGGGTCGGCAGGGGCTTTCCGGCCCAGTAGTACTCATAGTCGAACACAACGCCGCTGCGGTCGAAGAGGTCGGTGAAGAGCTTGCGCAGGTAGTCATAGTCAGGCTTCTCGAAGAAGTCCAGGCGCCGCACGTAGCGCAGGTATGTGGCCATCTCCTCTGAGAAGTTCGCGCCAAGCACCTCACTGGGCGTGGCGCATTTGGTGTCCCCCATCTTCCGGTACCGCTCCTTGAGCGTGTCGGCCTTGAGCCCCTGCCAGGGGAGGCTGCCGCGCAGGAAGTACATGAACAGGTGGCCCAGCGCCTCCAGGTCGTCCAGGTGCGTGTTGATGCTCACGTAGCGCGCTGTGCCCGTCAGGCTCTTGTGCTCGCGGTACGGAATGTGCTTCTTGGTCTCCGGGTCGATTACTCCTTGGCCAGCCCGAAGTCGATGATGTGGATGGCTTGCTGCTGCTTGGTCCCCGGGCGGCCCACCCGGAAGTTCTCGGGCTTCACGTCCCAGTAGATGAGGCTCTTGGTGTGCACGTACTCCATGCGCGTGATCAGCTGGATGGTGATCATCAGGTGATCATCAGCACCGTCTTGAGCGTGAAGGTGCGGTCGCACAGGTCGCACTCGTCCTCCAGGCTGGGCCCCAGCAGCTCCAGCACCATGGCGTCGAACTTCCCGCACGGGCCGAAGCAGGAGACCTGAGGGACGCCCTCTGTGACACTGAGCTGCTTGTAGAACCGGTACTCCAGGTGCAGCTGTGGGGCCCGGGACTTGATTGGCTCCAATTTGATAGCCACCTATTCATTTGCATAGAGATTCTTTCCCAGGCGGAGCTCCCCGAAGTTGCCACAGCCGATCTTCTTGCCGACCCGGAAGTTAGGGCCCACCATCAGGACCCCAGAGCTGGTCCCCGAGCTCCGGATGCCGTGGTTGCTCCGGCCCCGGCCGGCCTTGGACATTC